AAGTGGGAAAATGAATGGAGAGAGTGGCTACACTCATAACACTCTTGTTATGGCTACATAACAATTTCTACACTCATAACACTCTTGTTATGGCTACATAACAATTTCCATTATTGACACTTATACTGATTGGGAAAACATGGGAAACCAGGTGGTTTACTATTAAGTGTGCCTCCTACAGCATTTAGATTTCAAAAAAAAAAACACACAGAAAAAGAAAAAATTAAGGTAAATTTCTGATGAACAGTTATTAATTCTTGTCCAAATAATTACCTGAATAGCAAATGTACCCAGTACAATAGTGCAAAAAATAGGATTTCTGAAGATGCCATCAAAGACATTTCTTTCACCATGGATTTTTCGTGCATTGATTTCGTTGAAAAGCTGCATCATGACAAAGGTGTTGAAGATAATGGTGTAATGCTCTGAAGGTGGAGAGTGAAGTGGTGCATTCCTCCCGCTGTCAATCTTAAACATTTTCTCACCTAGGTATAAGACAAAAATAAAAGTTTCCACTAGAATAAATTAATCAAACTTATATTTCCCTTTTTGCTTTAGCTAGTTGCCTCCTGTGCTTTGCTTTACCAGCTTTCCTTCTGCACTGACTATAACATAGGCAGAATTTAAAACACCAATGACACTTAAGCTTCCCGAGCAAGAACCTTCTCAAATGATGACTATTCTGTAATAACTCAGTATACCTACACAAATAGTTTTCCGCAGTACTTTTCCTCTAACCAAATACTAATTATTCTAAGTCGTCAATTCTTTCTGATGTACCAGGCACGTGAGACCACTGACAGTATGTTTGCGATTTTCTACAATAATTAGAAGCAACCACTCTTCAGCAATTTTTACCCACTTGCTAATCCAGTATGGCAGAACTCTTGACAAGCATTCAAGGATATTAATGATAAAAACCACAGACATTCCTGGTTGTAAATAGATTTGGTTTTGATCATTCTGCTACTCTGCTTTGAAAGCACCATCAGGCATTGCTCTTTATTTCGATAATTTGACCATCACTTCTAGATCTGACCAATAAAAAAAGCAAGATACAACCATGATGAGTAACTGTAAAAATGAGGTAAGTTTTGAAAAGATACCTGCAGCTGAGGGACCTCTTTTATAGAGTCACAGAATGCTTTGGGTTGGAAGGCACCTTTAAAGATCATCTAGTCCAATGCCCCTGCCATGGGCAAGGACGTCTTTCAGTAGATCAGGTTGCTCAAAGCCCCATCCAACCTGGCCTTGAACACTTCCAATGATGCAGCATCCACAGTTTCTCTGGGCAACCTGTTCCTGAGTCTCACCACTCTCACTGCAAAAAATTTTTTCTCCTTATGTCCAACCAAACCTATCCTCTTTCAGTTTAAAACCACTGCCCCTACAGGCCTTGGTAAAAAGTCTCTGTCTTTCTTATAAGCCCTTTCATATATTGGAAGGCTGCACTAAGGTCTCCCCAGAGACTTCTCCAGGCTGAAGAACCTCAACTCTCTCAGTTTCCTCACAGGAGAGCTGTTCCAGCTCTCTCATCAGTTTTGTGGCTCCTCCTCTGGACCTGCTCTAACAGATCCCTGTCTTTCTTGCACTCGGGACACCAGAGCTGGACACAGTACTCCAGGTGAGGTCTCACAAGAGCGGAGTAGAGGAAGAGAATCACCTCCCCAACCTACTGGCCACACTTCTTTTTGTGCAGCCCAGGATATGATTGGCTTTCTGGGCTGCAAGTGCACATTGCTGGCTCATGTCCAGTTTTTTACCCACTTTCTTATATGCAAAGTTCACAGATAACATCCAGTTACTGAAAGAGGCATTATCTTAAAGTAAGGATGGGGCATTCACATGAAAGTGTAAATAATAAATGAAATAAGAGTAAAGAAGATTATCACAATACTGCTCATTTTCATAACCAGTGTTTTGTTAATAAAAGCAAATAAAAGCTTGAACATTTTTCTGCTATCCCACTAGCATTATATTCATAATTTCTGAAGAAAGAAAATGAAAAGTTTCCTCAGGTTTTCTCCTGAGGTTGTTAATTCCATCAGCTAAGTTAACAGTGAGCGTTTTTTTGCCGTGGGATATTTGAGCAATTCATGTTCAATTCACTGGGATTAATGAGCATGTTTCCAAAGAAAGAATTTGGCTTATAGTCTTTCAACAGAAAATAGATTTGTGATATATCACAAATATATCAGTAACATAACATGAAGCCACAAAAGTTAGACTGCGAGAGAGCAGAGATTTTTAAGAGATTATACATCTCCAGAGAGATTCATAGAATTCATAGAATTTCTAGGTTGGAAAAGACCTTGGAGATCATCCAGTCCAGCCATCCCTAATCCCCCATTAAACCATGTCCCTAAGCAGTTCGTCCACCCTTTTCTTAAACACATCCAGGGATGGGGACTCAACCACCGCCCTGGGCAGCCTATTCCAGTGGCTGACAACCCTTTCAGAGAAGAAATACTTCCTAACATCCAACCTGAATCTCCCCTGACTAAGCTTATACCCATTTCCTCTTGTTCTATCACCCATCACTAATGTAAAGAGCCCTAAAGATAACTAAGTACTGGAAAATATTCCCCTAACTACATATAAAAAATAAGGAAAAACTTAATGAAAGCAAACAGATACCATCGTTTTATCTTTTATAGATACACACACGTATGACATCTTTTTGCTTTCATCCCATACACACACAAACATAGCTCCCTCCGTGAGAGCACCTGTCCTTAAGTCTCTGTTATTACATTGCATCACTTAACTGGCAAAGCAGAACATGCTGCTGTGGTGGAACGGCAGTGGTTAAACCCATAACTAGTTTTTAGGGCTGAACATGTTCCAAAAGCGTTATAGTACATCAACGTTATGTTTATTATGCCTAGTTGCTGAGGTTAAGATTTTTTTTTTTGTACTACAGTTTGACAGAACTAGACAGTGACTTCTGGATTTCTGATGTGCCTGATGTCTCAAAGGCATTACTGTATTGTCAAACACAATGTATTTACTGCCACATCATAGACAAAAAAGCCCCCAAACTTGATGTACTAATCTCTAGAGAAACCTACTGCAAAAAATGAAGTATTAGTTGATCAAAATATAAATAATTCTCATTGATTTGGAATTTATTTATCAAAACACTGAGTTTAGAACATCATCTCACTGCAAAGCTGAGCCTTGTGGAGGTTAGAAAGGCAAAAATTGTATTTCCTAGGCTTATCAGAAAATCGGTTGGGCTACATCCTTCGAAGTACACATGGGTTTTCCAGAGACACACAGAAGTAATTAGAGTAGGATGAAAAAGCTTGGTTTTCTTTGCATCAGAGCTCAATATAAAATACTTTAAACCATAAAACTCATCAAAAAGCCATTAAAACTTCGCATAAGTTCGCAGAAGTTCTTGTTCCAAGACTCATATCTCATGAATTACCAAGATCTTCTACATCTGTTTTAGAGAATCTGAAATTACAATTTCCTTAGACTTGCTAGACATTTTCAAAATAAAGTGTAAGCCTAACAATATTACAGACCATCTCTCTTCAAAACCTGGCAATTATTTTGGTTTAAATAGCTCCACGGTAAACAGACCATCACCTCCTTTGAGCGTTTCAAAGAAGCTGCCAGTTGGTGAGGCAGAGCAAGACTTTTACAACAGAGCTCAAAACACTCCCAAAGAATCATAAATTTACATTTACAGCTTATGTGGCAATCTGTATATAAAGAAAAAAAATCTGAGAGACCACACATGTAATTTAACAGCGATGACATCGTGACAAGAACACAATACCCAGTTGATAAAATTATCAGTCCCTTGAGCAAGTTCACTTATTATTGTGGAGCAACAGAATCTATTATTAGCCCCTACTATTCCCTGCAGCAAGAAACATTCCTCCTCTTCCCTCCCCTCTCCAAAACACAACTTACAAAAAGCATTCATTGCTAGCAAGGCCTGAAGAAGAGTCCAGTAATCTAATAAATTAGATTGTTTTCCCCTTTTAATATCCATTCTAGATATTAAAATGTCAAAACAAAGTGTTATTTGTATCACTTAATACTGATTACTTGCTTATCTATACTACTTAAGATCAACATTATTTCTTGACTGTTGCAAACATTTGGCTCCCAATTAGAGCTTCTCCAGATATTGGTAAAATGGATCTTGATTTTGTTGTGTTTTTTCTTTTTTTTTTTAAATTTGTTGTTACATGCCTACTGAAGACGACAAGTATCAAAATGAAATTTCAGTATAGAAGAAGCAGGCCAGATGCTCCGATTAAAACGTAAACTTCTATGCTACATTTTAACATAAACTTCTGCCAAAGCCCAAACCTACATTTTGTTAGGAGGCAAAAATGCTCTCTGAGGCCCTTCCCAACGTAAACAACACATGAAAGGTGACTAAACCACTCTGTTGCTCTGCTCTGTTCCCTTACTGTTTCTGATCCCTTTAAAAAGCTTGGTCTTGCCAGCTGTTTGACTAAGAAAGACTTCATCTATGTGCATTAAGTGGTTCCATTTAAAGTATTTTGACATTCCAGGTGACGAGATGCTTCTATAAAGTAAGCAACAAGCGTAACAAACTTTCTTACCGACAAAAAGAAGGGTAAATATGAGAGTAAGCTGATAAACAGCATGGCCCAGAATGTTCTTCATCATGGTACGGGATATAAGAGGTTTGTTCCTGCCATATGGCTTTCTTAGCAACAGAGCCTCTGTGGGAGGTTCGGTGGCCAAAGCAAGGGAGGCAAAGGTGTCCATAATTAGATTGACCCACAACATCTGGACAGCTTTTAGAGGAGAGTCCTGTGGAGACAAATCGGAAAGTTATGTATTTCCTAGAAAAATAATTGTTGTCAGGTCGTTTACTGCAATTTCACTTCCTCCTGTGCGGCTGCAAGCAGTGCTGAAGACAGGATACTGAAATACATGGGCCTTTGGCCTGACCTACTACGACCTTCCTGATATTTCCTACACACGACCAGAATCACAGAAAGCACAGTGATCTGAGCAAAGATAAATTATTTCTCTCCAGTCACTTAAATCAGGAATATTTACAATCACACCATTCTTATGAAACATAATGTTAACACTTTACGATATATTTTTATGATACCCTCTGTTACTTCATGCATCATGCTTAAATTTTCATCTGAATTCAGGTAACTAGATAATATTCATTCCTAGAAAAAAAAATTATACTGAAACAATTTAAAAAGTAATGTTTCCTTTTACTACAACCTGTTTTTTCTGAAACAGCTTGAAATTATTAAAAATTTATGAAACAATTACTGAGACATTTTAATACATCTTACTTAAATAAGATCTTTTAAAAACAGTAGTGACAAAAAAACCACCTGATACATGAATTCAAAAAAAATATTCTGAAACTCATTAAACTATATCAAATGTGCAAAAGTAAGAAAATCTTTATCATTTTACTGGGTAACAGGATAGCATATTTGAAACTACGGAACCAGAAATAAAAAAAAACCCCATTACTACTCATCAAGATGAAGTATTTTTTTCTGAAGCACATCACCAACCACTAGAAGGAGCTCTTTCCTCACTTAATTCAAGAAATAATCTATGGTCATATTACAGAGGACTTGAGAACGTGTTTAAAAAAAACCCTCAAAAGTAAATAAATACAGCAAACTAACACAGATCTCAGGAGAACTCTAGATGACTCTTACAAAGTTCTGATTTGTAATTCATTGGGACAGCTGTAATGACAGACAGATGCAATTGCTTCATGGAGCCATAGCAGGAAAAATGAAGTAGGTTCTTTTTTTGGATCTAACAACCTCTTATGCCTTTAGACTGAACACAAAATGGGCAGCGTTAGTAAGGTCTTCTTCCTATTTCAAATAGATGGTTTTTATTAGGAAAACAGAATCTCAAATGTAATAAGTTATCAGTATGATGAATTTTGTAATGGAAGAGAGTTAATCTACAGCGTCAAAGTCGGACGACTAGAGCGCTATTTTTATGCATTACATCACCATTGTGCTGCAGTAGGGTAGTGAAGCAAAGAAATTTATGAGACAGCATACAAGCCAAATCAAAGCAAATAAAAACACCTTATGAACTCTGCCCTTTTCTTCAAAGGGTTAAACGTTCCTTTTTAATGAAATCTTATCAAATAATGAGGGCCAATATTCATTCGGTATCCCAAGGGCATATGGAGAACAAGGATAAGTGGTTTGGTCTCTTGTGGATCTGGGTTATATTCCAACTCTCCCTTGAGATAATATATTATTTCCTCTTGAAAACATATTTTTAACGCTCCTACATTTATACAAATCTTGATACATTTTATTTATTAAAAAAGAGCAATTTTTTAACTTATTCAAAGGGATGGAGAAAAGCAACCTACTGTTTCCAAGTCTTAGGAGGCTGGCTAAATCAGAGAAGAGACAAATATTAGTATGAACAGATTCTTGACCTCGTGGTTGTGGGTTGCATTAACTGGGCTTATCTGGAGAGTTCAGCTCACTCATTTGATATGCAGTTGTAGAATCAGGAAATGTCTTTGTCTTTAGAGATGGCTTAAAAACTAAAAGTAATTAGGACAAACTTCATTCCAAAATGAGACCTCCTTTATTTTTATTAATACTGAGGCTTAAACAAGAAGAGAACTCGCACCGAAAGCAGTTTGTTGCTAGGACTTGGAGACCCCAGATTTAGACACAGTATATTGAGAAAAAGGAAAACATGTTTTCTACTGAAGAATTTTCCTTGTCGCATTTTTACCTGTCTAGTTAATAAGTTTTCTTGAGAAACATCCTCTACTTTGAGATGTTACAATAGCTGAATTTCCGCTTCATGCACTGACTTCTATGTCAATAAAACTGAATCTGTCTGTTACACTGAACAGATAGAGTCAAATATTCAGGTGTCTATCAGAGCCTGACATATTCCTAGCACAATGAAAAGTCAGATTATTTCAGTCTCTAAATCACACAACTGTAACTGGCAGTCATCAGTTTTGGCAACAACACGTTCTCACCATTTCATACTGCCAATCACCTTGGGTGGCTATGGTGCCCCTAATAATTATCTATTATTGGCAGTGCTGCGCGGTTCAGTCAAGTGTGAAAGCTCATTCTAAGCTGAAGCCAAAACATTAAATACACATTAGGCTGGGCAGGCAGCAGAATGAAATTTCCACTGCAACTCTATCTGATAGATTTCTGATTAGTTGGTGGAAACGGAGGAAAATACATATCAGCTAAGGAGCTTAGTCTTCCATTACAGATTTTAGTCACTTGTGCAAGCAGGAGGCAAATTCAATGTTCTTTTCACTGTGTTTGAGCTGCTAACTGACTAGCTAATAATTGGTAATTCACTTTCTGAAAACTTCGGGGATGAAAGCTGTTCGAACTGCAAACCACCCAAAATCACCACTTGTTTGTCAAATTCCTTTCCACTTGACCTTGGAATAGGTTAGCATTGGCCTGGAGGTAAAAGGAAAATGTCCCTTGAATCAAGTGATGTTACACTTCATCTTGGAAACACTTAAAAGTACAAATCACCAAAGGCTGGAAATAAACCACAAATCTTTTCTGACATGCAGAGCCCCACAAATTTTAGAGCTTGTTACTTTTGATTTAGACGACAAGCTGGAAGGGAATAAAAAGGTATTTTCACCCTTACCTCTTTACTCCCACTTGTCAGAGAACACATGCATGGACTCATGAGCGTTTCGGGTAGGTTAACTTTATATACATTAATGCAAAAAAAAAGTCAGCCCTCGCTTCTGCTGCTAGATCACACTGTCTACTAATAATACGCAAGTGCCATCCTCAGTTTTATTTCCATGCCTCTAAGCCTTCCCAAAACAAAGCTAAACAGCACATACTCTGATGTCATACGCTAGCTTTTTCAAATTTGCCAATGCTATTATTTTAGGATTTGCCAAATACAGTTCTGCAGTAAAACATTATAACCATGTAAATTACTGCCTTATACATGTAAGTATAGATCATCCTCATTCCTTGAGCAAGATCTGTAAAAACAATAAGTGATTCATGCGGTAGTTCATTGCTACAGTGCTTTTTAATTAACATTTAATTTTCCAAACATAATGTCCTACAGAGTCACTGTTTTTAGTTCCTAATGCCTGCTAAAACATTAAGTCTTTTTCAAAGTATAAGAATAATAATTTGAATGTAAAATGTTAAAAACAGTCTTTGCTTTCTCTGTCTTTAATGTAACCTTTTTGAATAGTTACATGGCCTCAATAGTTCGAGATGCAGACAAAACTGCTAGGCTTTATAGTTCCAGTAAAAACCTGTTTCCATTTGACTGAACTGCATTTTAAAATCTTTATTTTGTACATATCCAGATTATTTTTTACAGCTCCAAACATAATGACCTATTATTTTCTTGGTACTATGTATATGTTGGGAAAGGAAACGGGATGAACCTTCAGGCTTCGTAAGGCACGTATAGAACTCTCTACGATACCTAGAAACGTGGAGCAATGACTCATGTGAAGTACAAAATTCACAATAATTGTAGGCAGAGCTCCAAAGAAGAACCAAAGAGTCAGTCAAGGGCTCTGCAAAACTGTTGTTCAGAGAATGAAGTCAGAATGTAACAGTTTATATCTCATAAATCCGCTGGAAAAAGAAATTATTGGTTTCACCTGAGCTAAGGGTTGCTGAACAGAAAGGACAACTATATGCAAACTGGTCAAGATAACCACACCTTGATCATTTTAAAAATATGCACTGGGCAACACAGGGAGAAGGAAGCAAGAGGCAAATGAATTAGAATAACTGAAAGATACGGTGAATTGATACAGCTCAGCTGCATTGTGCCACACAAACTGCACCGACACGGGACTGGCAGAAATAATAGTTGTGATCTCACTGGTGGGTGCTGTGTGAACACTGGACACAAAACTAAGAGCACCTACGCAGCCACAGACTGAGTGATCCTGATTCAGCTTTTAATCGGAGACGACTTTGAGCTTGGTTTTCTTGTTCGACCTAGATCTCAGAGTGCTTCACGTAATTACAGAATCGCAACACACAAGGTCATTATTAGCTGAAAATTCAGAACTCTTGGCTTATATGTTGAGCTGCTGTAAACTGAGAGTCCAGTGTAACTGTGAGGGGCAGCTCAGTTTTGGCAGCAGCCACGCTAAGCCTGCCAACAGGTCACACCCTATTTGTAATTCCCATGCTGCTCAGAAGATGATTTCTGTCACCTTAACATGACTTCGTGCTGGGTCCCATGACCGAGAAGAGCAAATGATCATTTGCACTGGTCCCATTTAGTCTGCATAGTGACTTCTTTAATATATCACTGCCACTCCTTTATAATCCTTATATAACACTGGAGTAGCACATAGGGTCACATACGCTTCGCACCTGTAAACGTCTACCAAAACAGCAAACCAGGACGAAACAGAAATAGCAGAGACGGTAGATATTCTCTCTACCAGCATCTTGCTGAAACAGGCATTGGGTAGATAAACAATAAAATAATATTTGCTTAAAATTAACAGAATTAAGCTAAACAGTAGTTCCCTGAAGTGCAACTGGCAATGATGCTGATTTTTTTTTATGTTTTTGAGAAAAAAAAAAAAAGTAGCAGATGCTTAAAATGACCACTAACAGTCACAGGTTCTACCTAATATTTTTCTTAGACCTCTCCATGCCACTCCTAAGGTGCTCTGGATCAAAGCAATCAGCTTCTACTTGGCAAGGCATTTCCTCTGGGTGCTCCTTGGAGGTCTTGTTTCACTCATAATAGCACTCAGACAGTTGGACCCTTTCACTAATACAGAGTTGCAGTGGTTTCACTAGGAGTCCTGCAGTGATATGACCACTTACACATATTTACACGCACACCAACGCAACTGCAGGATCAAGACTGAATAAAATAAAGTCTATTTAGTTGCAAAGCACAAGCCAAGCGTTAGTCAAAACACTTTGTACTTCCTTTAAGCACAAACAGTAGAAACACCAAAAAGAGTAGGTAAGTGTAGAAGAAGCATCAAACTCAAAGCATCCCAGTATGCTGGTTCTGAATTGCAGAACAGATATTCTGAGAGGTAACATTAAGAAGCATGACAGAAACGTTACTTCCTATACAGAATTTTTCTCATTCTAGATCTGATGAAACATCACCAAAAGAGTAGCCTGTGTAATATTCATTAACCCAAATATTAATTCAGGACTAACGTTATGTTCCGTATGTCAAAGAAAGCCAAACTGACTGCCTAAAAGCAAAGTAAAGTTCAGTCCAAGGTGGACCTTCTTTACATTCAATTTGAAGGTCAGAGAAAGCTGTGTTGCCTTTTGGAAACTATGGATTTTAGCTTCATCTGTTTGTTAAGAACTTAAATGTTTCAGTCAAAATAGTAATTCAAGTATATTCACACATTATGTGCTAGAGCTATTTTCATAGAAACCAGAGGGTACAGTATGTTCTCAAGCGTAATTTTTAGTAAATATCTGAGCCAAGCAAACATAATGCCCATTCTCTGGCTGGAGCCTTTGAGTCAAGGCCTGACAGTCAAGCCTTTGAGTCAAGGCCTTCATTCCTAAGGCAAGATCCTGCCTGAACGTGACGGAGCTGAGAGCTACTTGAGACTGTCAGCAGTCAGGCTCTTGACTGTAAACACAACTACAATGGAAATAACTGCTGCCTTTTTCCTACAATTTCAATTTTAGCTCCCTTCGGACCTCTTCCTTTGGATTTGCATTTTTACTGCCAAATTCAGGAATTGCATAAGAATCTATGTGGACAGAAATACAGGAATTCTAGGAGGTGTGCATTAAAACCTGTAAACAGGGACAACAGACTTGGCAGGCTCTGTGATGGTCTTACAGACCATTGGGGCAATATAAAAGCACTGAGCCTTATCCAAATCCTACAAGCCAACGGAGTGATTCATAGGATGAAGAAAGCTCTGGAATTAGAAAGGGGAATATGCTTGCACTGATTATGCACTACACATGCACTTAGACTTGATTTAAAATAGTCTTTGCACTGATTCAGTGATGTTTAACCTCTTCAAGAATAAAATAGAAACTCCTTAGTTAACAAATAGAATATATTTTCCTTCATGCTTTCATAAAGCGACTGAAAAAATGCTGGACACTAACAAAAAAAAAAATCACTTTAAATAAATGTTAGTAGGCAGAGACTGAATGTCTACAAAACAGGGTCTTAAAAGGAAGCACTCACCTCAGTTCCAATTACAGTGTTCTCACCACGTGGCTATTGGCACTTTCTCTCTATATGGTTTTGTACCACTGATAAAAATCCAGGAGGACTGACCTTCCAAGACTTTTAGTCCTTATTCATATACCTTCTGTTACCAGCAATGATCACTTCATAGCTAAACATTTTCTCAGTATGCTCAGAAATATTTCCCAAGGGAAAAGTAAAAGTTATCCAACTTCTGCCTCAACATCAATAACTTTGTCTCCTAGCACAAGCTCAATTGGCATCAACAAGGCATCATCGAGACCCCAGGGCAGTGTGGTGGTGATCTCGCAGCACAAAAAAGGCCTCTAAATGTCAGTCGAGGCTTAGGAGAAGTTTGACCTCATGGTTTTGGAAAGGTACCTGGGTTTCTGGTTTCAAGTATCAATTCCATGATTACAATGTAAGTTTACCCTGGAGCAGAGCTAATGACTAATTCATTGTTTTGCTCAGGTGTGCATGAGGTGAAATTTACCTGCTGAAACAGGTATGTGCATCTGTGAGATGCACAACAGAGGGAAGCATCAGCTTTCCCACAGCATGTCTCAATCAAAGGAGGCATTTGGTAACAGCACCTGTCTGCAGCATTTGAAATATACATTGGTGTAGGGAGTGACAACATGACAAACTGCACGTTTTCCTATTTTCTAAAGGACCAAAACCTCATACAGTACTAAATACATCCTAGTTTCTTTCTAGGGGAAATAAAAGCTTAATTTTATTAATCAAAAAGTAGTAATTTGAAGGGGACAGTATGTGGTTTGCTTTCACATATGCTTTTTGCAAAAGACCAAGACATGTTGCGGGTACGTCAGGATGGCAATGAGGGATTAATGAAGAGAGGGAAAAAGAATCAAAAGTCCTACTGTATGTGTCATTTAATTGGTTTGTCATTTGCATCTCAAATTAAAAGAAATCGCCTGAAAACAACAAAATAATTGTTTTTATCAGTCAAAAAGCTCCCCTGCTGGGATTACTGCTGTGTGTCAGTGCTGCTCTCCTGAAAATAATAATCCCATTCCATAATCCATCAAGCAATATACATTTAATAGTGAAATATTCTGAGAGGAAAAGGCAAAGTCACATAACCTCTTCCTTCTCCCAATCTCCAACATTTTCTGTCCTATCATCACAGGCTCAGTCATGACAATAATATGTTATCAAAATGAGGCAGCTGTATGGAGACAGCACAAAAATTAGCAGCTCCTGGAAGCAATTGACTTCCAGGAGAAAATGGATTAGTACGCTTCCTTATGTCAACAGCTATTTAACATTTAGCAGCTTGATCCTAAATACACTCTTAATGTTCAGAAGAGTTTCAGAAAGCATACTTCCTCTGTACAGAGTCAAATGTAAGCCACTGTCACTTAGAAAATGCAGCTCGGTAGCATTTGGCCCCATACTTCAAGCAACACCTGAAGTAAACCTTACCTGGGTAATGCACGCTCCAGTGAAAGCCACGATCACGGCCACAATGTTGACAGTGAGCTGGAACTGCAGGAACTTGGAGATACTGTCATAGACGTTACGTCCCCACATCACAGCCTTCACAATGCTACTGAAATTGTCGTCTGTTAGGATGATATCTGAGGCCTCCTTTGCAACATCTGTTCCAGCAATACCCTGGAAAAATTAATTGTGAATAAAATTACCTACTGGACAGCACAGAGACAGTTAGAATACAAATCATCATACTCCTTCAAAGTCCACAGTTACACAGAGACTCCCCAGCATAGTAACGGTGACTGCTGAGTTCATTCTGCATTTTATATTTGCTAGGATGTGAGCTAATTTGGCCTTTCTTTGAAAGTGAGTAGGGACACAGAAAAGGGAACTGACAGGGAGCAGTGGAATTCACGTGAAGATAGTTTTGAGTGTTTTGAATCATCAGCTTAACGACTACTGATCTTCTGAGTTATTTTTATCATTGATGGTATTAATCTACATGAACAGAATTGCTAACAAAAATTAGAATTATGTATCTTTATATATAGGAAAGTATATTAATGTCTTCAGAGTCAGAGTACGTTGGGAAGACGTCTTTACATTTAGTGATGGATTTTACCAAATCGAGAGAGTACTCTACTGTTGTGAAGAAGAGAGTTCAGTTTTCTGTATTGGCATAGGATTCTGCATGTAGCAAATAATTACCTTAGACAAAATATTGAAAAAGTATCAAAACAAGCAATACCACTGCAACTTTCTCAACACTTAATGAATGAAAAACCTCTTACAGCAAATTTATAACGACACAAACACCACTACACTCAAGACTATACCATTGCAAAGCCGACATCAGCTTTTTTAAGTGCTGGTCCATCGTTGGTTCCATCACCAGTCACAGCCACAACCTGCCTCTGTTCCACCTGTGTGCTGTCAATAATACCTGCAGAAAAGTATATGGGTGTGTACATACATACATATAAAATAATTAGCAAGGTAAAATTCCCCTTTAAAAAATGGCAGAGTCTGTGCAATACAGCCTACAGAATATCACACAAGCTTTACAGAGAGAGTTGATTTTTAAGGAAAACAACAATGAAAACTGTATCCCCACTACTATACAACACTACTAGAATTTACATGGAAAGTTCTGACCCTGGATCGTCAAAACACCAACAAAACTTGCATAGACTTCAAAAGGGAATGAGATGAGCTCATTATCTTCTTCTGGAGGATTTCTATGGTTTAAAATTGTGTCACAGTAAACCTGTTTCAGCTCAGCTCCCTGATTAAACATCAATGGAAAGGATTTGCCAAAGACTTAAGTTCATGCTTAAAGCTCTCCTGAACTGGGACTGAACTATAATATCAGCTTTACTCGGACGCCTTCTGGCAATCAGTTCAACCTAAAGATAACAAACACTATTGATGAACTTTATTTAGCTGGAGCCAAATTAACATTTTAACAGACATGTTCAATTCTGCCAAACAATGATTAAGAAGACATAAAATAATTCTTCAAATTCTGGAGCCAAACATTTTAATAGACATAATAAAATAATTTCTACTTTCATTTTGAGATAATTTGAGACAAGAACACACTTTTCACTTGGTGAATCAAGTTTCACTCAACTAGCCTGCAGGGAACTGTTTTCCACTTAGGCAGATGGGGAAAGTAAGGAAAAGAATAAAGAATTTTTCTAAGGTTACAGAAGAAGCCTTGTTTTTTAATAGGATGAGGATCATTCACCACTCATGTCTTTATTTCCATGTCAGAGTCCATCTGAATATGAGTCCAGAACACAGGATTGCTGTGTACAAGAACACCTCTCCACATTAATAACTTAGGGGGGGAAATGACCAAATTCCTTTTGCTAAACATTTTGCACAAAGTCATAACCTCTAAAAACAATTATCCAAACCTGCCCAGTGTGAAAAGATTTCATTCTACGCTGGGAAAAAATAACTCACATATCAGATAACTAACCAGAAATGGGAAATTGCCGATTACAGAGCAATAGCTGCCTCTTGGCAACGTTCAGGCTTATCAGCCAGCCAGGAGATTGCGATGCAGCACGGAAGCAGTTAGTGTCCTGTATTCTTCAGTCTTATGAAAAGCAGAAAAAAAACCTATTCACATTCTATTGGCAGTATGAACTCAGATAAACGGCACATTATTCTGATAAGATCTTATAATTAGAGCTTTCAATTTGTTGCGGTGATTTGCTTTTGGTATTACTAAATAAACAGGAATATCAGCTGCCATTACTGTTAAAAGAATTTATCTTGGTCTTCCTTTCTTGTTATTAACACGCCCTTTGATGTTAAATTAATAATTTAAGCTTCTGAAAAAAATAAGAATCTCTGACACATCATGGTATTAACTGCTCCAAACAGGTAGACAGCATCCTCTCACAACTGGGATTCCACATGGGAGCACAACCCAAATCAAGCTGAAGAGGCTCTAACAAATGACATCCAAATAGATATAAAAAGTGCTCTAATGTCAGTGACTGCCCTACCCAACTACCCTGCCCAATTGCCGGATGCAGCTAAGTTACAAGGTTTACTAGTTTTTCGCAAGATTTAGTAGGCATTTTTATCCCCACAAGCAAACTATGGAGCCGGGATAAGCCCAACACCCTCCAGAGCACAGAATCGCACAATCAGTAGTCATGGAAAACCAGAGATCAAACGGTCTCGGTTGCCATCAGCATCTCAGCCACACATCTCCATCACAGTGACCACTGCTAGTGTCATCAGAAACATGTCAACGTATGGCACAACAGTATGTGGATGGACTTCAGTGCTATTCACAGGAAGAAATAAGATCTTTGCGGGACTTTGATTTCTACATATGACAAAATTTCTAAAATGGAGCAGTAGCAATTATTTGGGATTCAGAGGACTTATCATAGCTATACTTACGCTCCCCAACTTCTGTCTGCATGCTTTTTAAAATCTGTTCCTTCTCCCCTCTTGCTCACATTTCTGAATGGTTGTCTTCTTCCCAGCACTTGCCTCCTTCCTAACCACTTTTACTTTTTTTTTCTTTCTTTGATATCATTCTGTTAATAGTTGTCATAAGGTTTCACCTCAAGAATTTTCTTCAGTATTGAGTAGTATGTCTGCATAGATTTCACAAACAGTGTAAAGAGACCAAACAGAAGAAGGAAGCCTAGGAAGGGTTCTCTGCAGTCTTGAGCTGTGGAGAACAACTGCTTCCTTGATCAGTGAAAAATGCAAATAAAGGCATGACCTGGAGACTGACAATGAAGAGAATGCCCGTTTCTTTAACATTCACTGGCCTTTCCACTCATTCAAAACAGCTAAAAAGAAACTTCAGTATTAATTAGTCATGTCTAACAGCCAGGAAAAATTTCTTCAAAATAAACTGCCTTACTCCAGTTGAATGCTTACATACAGTATTTTGATAAAAACAGGTCTGCAAGGCAAAGCAGAGGAATTCCTAAAACTCAGCAAAGCTTCCTCCCAAAACAGCCTTTGCTGCTTCATTGGTCTTTTCTCTCATATTAAGCTGTATGGTCACGACTTTCCTCTGTCAAAACAAATTTTATTTAACAGCCTCAGGAGTACACCTAGAGCATAGCACTACAGTGTGTTCCACACACAGATTCCGCTGATGCTGCAGGAATTTGGGGAGGAGTCATGGAGCTTGCATAAGGCCTAAGTTTTATATATGCACAAGCTCGCTATGAAAAGTACCAGCACTTCATACACAGCTGAAAGTGAAATATATCCTGTATCTCCCACCTTCCTCCCTTCTAACATTAAGCATTAAATCAAATCCACTCAGGATAATAATATAAACAATATTAATCAACGACGTGTCTTCCATTTCTTTTACAAGGAACTATCTGTACCCATGACTCAGACCAAAACCATGAAGGATAGCCCCAGGTTCTCCCTTTACTGCAGAACAAATGCCACTTTATTTATACAATTCTTACTTGCATTGTCACCCTTAGAGTCGCAACAGAAAGAAACTGTTGGTTCTGGGAGAAGAAAATTCCTTGTTTAGATACATCTTTCTGTTTCAATTGATTAACTCAAAACAGGCAGGCAGGAAGAACTTAGCTACAGTAGAGCACTTCGCAGATGCACACCAGTTCAGGTGTTACTGGTGCAGTAAAGCTGATCATCTCGTATGCTTACACACACTTGTATTTCTTTGACAAGCTAAACATAGACAGATGCAGCAATATATTTTCACAGGCGTGTTCTGTTCAGATTAGGTTTTACTACTTCCAAACTTTCTGAAGCTCCCTGTTAATTTGACAATAATTTAGAAAGTCTGTCTGAAAGAAAAGATTTATATTCACTTTAGCTACATGCTTAAGTATGTGAAGGAATGGAGCTTTAAAGGTTAATGTAAAAGTGTCACACACAACATGACAGACAGCACTGGTACCTGCTCAGTGAACTGCTCTGCAACGTTCATGCCGTGAGAACAGCAGAGAAGAACACGGCGAAAACGCCCCGATTTCTGTACTAAGCACCACCAACTGCTTCACCCTGCACGGCTGCAACACGAAAGGGGAACCTTGACGGCATCAGTGCCTCCCACAAAGCTACGTACACGTCACGCAGAGCAGAGCGCCCTAAACGGTATTTACAGAGCGTAAACCCCTGGATTCAAATGCAGCATGTGCCTGCTTCCTTCAAACTGTTCCTGCGTCCATCGCTTCAGGGAAGAGTTGGTTGAAGTTGAGTTTTATATTGTGGAACAGGTCAGCTTTCTGAGTATTTCTTCGTATGACTTTGAATAAAAATAAATATTAACATTTTCTCTCAAACGGAAATCAAAGGCACTTGCAATTTGCAACGTGCTGATATTTAATTTCAGAATTTCAATTAATACACTTCTCTATTCTTTATTATTCTATCTATTCTCATGGCGTGTCCATATTAATGAGGTCATGAATATAATACCATCTCACACAATAATATTTGAAATATTTTAGTATTTAAGGGCAATTATTAAAAATCCTTTCTTCTTTAAAGTTCCGTTTCTGCTTGTTAATAAATCAGCCTTACATGAGAATGGAATAGTTGGTTTTAGTATCACAGAAAATTAATTCAAGCCTCATTTAAACATATTGGAAAGCACAGCTTCTTTAACTGGTAAACTGAATATTTATTTGATCTTCTCTATACCTTCTGATACGAAGGCGATATTTCTCATCAGTACGAAACACTTGCTTTCCATAGTATTTTAAAAAACAATATGACAATATTGAAGTATTTCAGCAGTAATATTGTAAGGATACATCTGCATAAATTGTATGCGTTTTTACTTGTTATATTTTGAAATAGGGTAAAAAATATGAAATAATACAAATGGATGTCATAAAATCCATAAGAAATGTATTTCAGCTGGATTGAGATATCTAACATTTTTGTTTCACTGAAACAGCTCATGATGATAAACCATTTTGACTCGTTTTTTTTTTTTTTCAATCTATCTCTACTTCAAAGCCATAAATATTTGAGAGAAACTGTCCGCCCAGCCTGAAACGCTGAACCATGCCTTTCTCTAGTCCCTTCGCAGTAGTAAAAACAAAAATGCAAAATAAAAATGATCTTTTTGCTGGGTGGGATTGTGCTATGTTAAGGAGAAAAAATATTCCCTCCAGCAGCTGTATGTCATTAAAAATTAAATATAAAAAAAGTTTATTTTGTGATGTGTGTTTTTACCCTAGAGCAGATAGAATACATCAAAGAAGAGAAAATCCTCTTGATCCCTCAAGTGTCTGAGAAAAATATAACATTTTAACAAGAGGCCCGAAACTAGTGAACATTTAAATAGTTTCTTGTAACTTTTAATGGCCCTGGGAGTATTACCAGTCAAAAAATTCCATCATGGTTTTCCACAGACTTGTTCTTGAACTTCATTAGACACTTAATTGCTCTATCATTTGACCTTGTCACATCTTTAAAACATTCATTGTATTAGTTGCATATGGCATTCAATAGTAGTAAATACCTTTTGGATTGCCAAAGTGCATATGCTATAAAACATCAATAATTTGCTGCTTATTTTTCTTCAGCTCTTTATTGATTTCATTTTCCCTGGCAAAGGTTGCATTTTCCTCTGAAGGGAAAATCCCGAATGATTCAAATGAGTACTCCTCCCAAGGGACTTACTTAATCTACTTAATGAAACACAAATTGTTGTGTGTTTCTGAAACAAATAAACTATTAGGCTGTACAAGTCATGCCCTCCAAGAGCTGTAAGGCAGTATTTTACATGCGCCAGGGAAGTAAGGAAACTTCAGCTAACTTTGTGCTGGTTTAATACTGACCTATGGAGCTAATAATTACGTTGTCCAAACCAATGGTCTCCAAACCTTTTCAATCATAAACACCTATCGGTAAAATATTTTTGAGTACACCCCCCCAAAATATGTGTATTATTTATAAATTACACATATGTACTACTGTACTAATACATTATGCACATTATAAAACATACAGAAGAAAAGGACGAGATAGAGATGAAATAAGCAGTATTTTAAAAAATTTCTTCTATTTAATAATGGTAAAAAATATTTTCTTCCTGCATCCCAGTGGATTGTCCCTGATGTGCGCACCCCAGTTTGGAGGCCAGTGGTCTGAATAGCGGCTGGAGCGAGTGAGTAACAGCAGCATGTCTCCAGCTGCCCCATCTCGTGCACCGTGCCAGGGCTCACAAGGTATCTTAGTCCTTCTGAAAGATCCATCTTCTGGAGCTCTTCACATATACTGGTCCCAACCCAAAAAGACCCAACTGATCCAATCTTCAAATTCATAATGGAACTTTTGCTCTAAAGTCATCTACACATTTTAAGAAGTTACATACTGCTCAAAAGCCTTTGTAATCAGTCATGTATGGAGGCATATCAATAAAACCTTGCTATACCAAAAGGATATCCAGAAACGATTTCCTACCTACATGTTAATCAGCTGGATCTTATACTGAATTTAGCTCCTCCAAGAATCACTAAGAAGGGTGTCTCCAGCCTTTCTAGGGCCTTAGCAAAATAACCCAGTTGTTTTTTCATCAGGAAGCCAGCAGCCACAGCCATCCGTTGACGGGGCTTCTGCCTGCACTCGCCTCCCACCTCATCACAGCCAGAAATGATGATATTCCTGATCAGAAATTTTCTGATTTCATCAGCTGCCTTTGAAATGTGAGCTTCGAAGTCAACAGAGTAAGATTTCAAATCACCAAGACGTGTGAGTTACAGACATGAAAAAGGCTTTACAAAGCAAACTGCAAACAAATCTCTCTTTTAGAGCAGCATTCCATCTGCAGACAGCCTGGTAAGACAATATAATTTGTATGGTGCCTTTTTCCTAGGGCAAAAATAGACTCTAAAAATACAGCCAGAAATTTAAAGGAAGTCAATGCAAACCATACAACTAGTGAGCCTGTAGTAACCCAGAAGTGCCTTAAAATGCGCATCTCCATTCATGTAATGCTGTGCAGAGGGCAGCTCCCAGTTACACCATCTCAAACAACTGCTACTGTAACATCAACGGGTTTTGATCTTGGAATACTCTTGAAAAAATAATTGTAAGAGAACAGATGCACTTGTGTGACTTGATTTACTGAAAATGAGCTTGTTCTTGTCTTCTTCATAAAGAGGTTTAGGCAAAGACTACGAGATCTGTGCCTCCTATTGTTTATGTAAAGAACAACTTGTTTCTGAAGAATATTTTCTTTCTGACCAGCAAACACACATTTTCCCTTCCCAGCTAAAGCCTCATTCTAGTCCAATTAAAAGTCACAAGGGAAATAGGAGATTTCCTACATCTACTTCCCAGACATCTTGTTGGTGTTTCTGTTATTCCTGCCAACCAGTTTCCTATTATTTTCCATTTGAAGGCTCAGGTGGAAGGCAAACACAAGAGACTTGCTTACTGAGAAAACTTCCTTGCGTTATGTATAGCTGTGGAATTAAAGGTAACGACTCAGATCTGTCTGTAACTACAGGGTTTACAACGCAGATGATGTGGTGAGCATACTCCAACTACTGAGGCACTAATTCATACACAGGCACGAAGCCGGTCTGCACGCACCTTTTACCAAAGTGTGTTTGTCCGTGGGAGATGAGCGAGCAAGCACTCGAAGCTTCGGCCAGATTTTGTCAATCCGCTCTTGCTCAATCTGGAGAGGGAGGGGGAACACAAAAAGAACCCAAAACAGTAAAACTGTTAGTCTGTGATAGCAAAATGCAAAATGTATTTGTGTCCATGTGTCAGATGATTCACTTCACTACTCAGTTAGTAGTCGTTACTGATGCAAGGTACACATCAGTGCAGAAGAAACAACATTTTGGTGTTCTTACTATTTTTTAATAACACGTTCATAATATGTATGGATTTAGTATATGAATTACCTCTCCCTTCTCATTTCGGATCCTCCTGTTAAACTCTTTTCCTTCAAGGCAGAGAAAGTCTTCTCCTGGATGAATGATTCCACATTTTATGGCAATGGCACGTGCTGTGTTGATGTTGTCTCCAGTGACCATGCGGACTGTAATTCCAGCTCGCTGGCACTTTCTTATGGCTTCTGGGACCTACGAAAACAATATAACAGGAAAGGAAATTCCTAGATAAGAGATAAAAATGTAAGTCAGGTGTTTCCAACCAGAATATTTTGAGGCTAATAAATTCATGAAGTAAAAAGCAAAATCATACATATTATGGCATAGATTACAGCTATTTGACTTTTATGGAATTGAGGTTAAACCACAGGCAAGACAAATCTTGTAGCAGAAAGAACACAAACTGGTTTTTAGATCATTTGTCTGAAGTTTCTCCTGACTCATAAAAAGGACTGCTCTGCAGCTTTTTTGACCTTTAGCATCAAGGTACAGCATGCTCAAAATACATGAAAACATCAGCTGAGAATAAATATATTTTGTACAGAAAATTATCTGATTTCTGATTCAAACATTCCTTTCAATAAGATTATGTAAAAAGTTATTGTAATTTAGCACTAGTGCTATTACACTAACTCATGCATATCAACAGGTGGAAATCCTAAATATACTAGTTCAAAATTTCATTAATAGTTTACATATTCTGAAACTGTAAAAATGAAGCGTGATTCTAGTTGCGCTCCCTTCTGCATGAGACTGACTTTTCCTGCTGCACAGTGTACATTGCCAGTGAGAGAGAATTCAGTGTGTGACAGGGTCCAGGAGATTAATGTAGAAGTTACGTATTGACTTGGCATCACAGACAGCTTATTTAAAAATAGAAATAGAAAGGGAGTTTTTGCAATTAAAATGTGCAAGTGCTAGGAAACGGATTCTTATCAATTAAATAAATCTCTTTTAATACAGCTAACTTGGGTATATTATTGGGTATATTATTCAGTGCCTACAGAAAGGCTATATATTTATAGCTCAATGTCAGATGGGAAAAAATTGTATTCCTTTAAACTATATAATAATTAATGATAGTTTATTATTAATAAATATCACTCTAACCAACGAATATAGCCTTATCACATTTTTGCATTATTATGAAAGCATTATTTCTTCAAGAAATAAATAACAATATTATTTGACATGGAAGAATAAGAAGTGTGTCTTAACACTTCGAGAACAGCCTTAGACAGAGACCTTCAGCACACCACAACTTCTCCAAATTTCCATTTTTACCTAGAAGAGACTAAGCACATCCCAGGACTCCTCATGAAGACAGAAACCGATCACAGAGCTACAAGAAACTGAACCGCCTTACTACAGAAGATAACAAAAGACAGCTATAAAGCAATTATAGGCTGCACTGGTTCTTACACGTGGGGCAGCAGAGAGGTACTTGAAGTAGAGAAGTGACAGTCTGAGAGGAAAAAGATACCCAAAAGATAAGCATCTGAATATGAGGCAGTGATCCTAAGTAAATCTCCAGACAATCTGAAGATTATCTCACAAGTTAAAATAGCTCCAAAGACCTGGCTTGCTCTGCAATGTTGCCTAACACTCACAATCTACGTATTGCATACGTAAACCGTATTGGAATAAACTCCTCACATGCATACACTTGGCCACTGACTGCAAATTGCTGCTGCACTATCTGACATACTCACATAAAGTAACGGGATTGTCCGACTGGGATGAATTATGTCAGCAATTGTGTGTGTGGACCTGTTGATTTTCTATAGAAACTGATAAGCAAATGATTATGAAAATAATTTTAACTTTAAAATAATGATAATTTCTTTTTTAAAAACACACAAAAAATATGGTTTAATTTAAGAAAGAGTATCAAAGTGGGTATCACTGGCTACGATAGCAAAGCCTCGCTATGTTCTCCTGCCGGTTTGGGGCAGCTTGCTGATCACAGCCGCTACCACAGACGTAAGTGTACTGTAAACTCCGTGCCAATTAGAGTGGATTAATCTCATCCGTCAGTACAGAAGATATTAAGGACCCAACATCTACAACATTACGCTGTTAATTTTGTGCATTTTATATATTTTGATTTCTTCTACAGCTGCGAGGATGTGGCACTGCTGGGGGCAGGACAGTGCCTTTTACTTGACCACCACTGCTCTGCCCCGGTGTGGCAACTGCTGGGCTTCTAAGGATTTTGTGGGGCCAGAAAGGCTCTAAACCTCAGACTGGACCTCAGACTGAAATTATACGCCCTTAAACCATGTTGCATCTAACTATTATTCTAATCAGTGAATGCAATTTCACACCATGTTTCTCTACCTTTATTAAAACACGTTTTCTCAGGAAAAACTAATACTATTCTCTTCCATAATGGTATAAGAAACGTCTCTAACACTTCTAAGTCAACTCAGATGCTCACACAGAGGACATGACGGCTCAGCTGGTCAGTTGTGCTCTTTCTTGTTTAATAAACACGAGGTAGTTGTGAGGCTGCTATTTTCCAGAATGCCTCACTAAACTGACAAATAATTGAGGATCAGACTAGTACTTTTCCCATGACTACGAAGAAAATCACCCTCAGACTGCATCCACAGAACGTGCTGTTTGCAGAATGACCCTCTGTCAGTACAGATTACAGAACCAAGAGAAAAATTACGGGACAGAGGTTTATTGTCCCATTTTCTCATCTCTACTAACAGAATATTCTTCCCACAAGTTCTATCCTGGATGCACTGTTTGGACCTGAAGCCTTTTAACATTATGAAATAGGCTTCTATGGGGGATGTACAATCAGGTTATATCTATTACTTCAGCAAATGACTCCTGATTTACCCAGTCTCTACATCAATAATCCTGACTAGATCCCATTTGCCCATTTGGAACTCTAACTGTGGTGACCCACATGCACAGGCTATGGCAGATGTAGACGGGTAACTGTAAAACCAGCACAGGGTGTGAACCACGAAGGAGAAAAACAAATCCGTGCAAACAGAAAAAAAGGTCTGTTCACATAAAGTGCCAGTCCTATTCAACAAGGTCATGGGAGGACAACCTAGTTACAAATACATCTCAAACTCACATATAACTAGAAAAATAATTCTATTTTCCTCTTCTCTCATTTTTTGGACAGCTGGTGGGTGGTATCTGATTTAACATTGTGTACAGTAATTACAGTTAAAATATTGTT